TGACATAACTGTTAATCGTGTGTTTGGTAATGTCCTTGCTTACGTGTACACCATTGAGTTAGTTTCAGAAACGCGGTCTGCCCCACGCGCACATACTCATCATCCTGGCGGAGGAAAGTAAGTTGCGCACGGCAGAGGACGTCGACGACTTGGTTTGCGCCTACCTGCCGGACCCGGAAACCAACAGGCGCTTACACACGTGCGTCACGTCGCACATAATACACGGGCCTTGTGGAAGGGTCAACACACAGTGTCCGTGCATGGTGGACAACTGTTGCTCCAAAGACTACCCGAAACCATACGCAGAGGAGACTGTGTATGTTTCGGACGGCGGTTACCCAAAGTACCGACGACCGAACGACGGTCAAGTGGTTCTTTTGAGAAATCACGAGGTCGGCAACGAGTACGTAGTTCCTCACAACCCTTACCTCCTGGCAAAGTACGACGCACACATCAATGTCGAGGTGTGCTCTTCCATAAAGAGCGTCATGTACATCTACAAGGGACATGACTGTGTGATGCTGGAGGTTTTTGACCAGGATGAACTAGCCAAGTGAGTGTTCATTGAAATTATAGTTATAGAAATTGTTGAAGCAATATCAATACTATATTTCTTTATTTGTGTGTAAGAGTTATATAATATATATAGTTATATAATATATAATTGTATGTATGTACATTTGTACATCATGGCACATGATTACTATTCCATCATTATTAGTGTAGAACAATATTTTATGCATTCAATTTTATGTATTAAATATTTTTCTAATCACTCTTGGTATACATTATGTATTTTTAGATTGTAAATTGCAGCATTTGTGATTGGTGTAGTTAAGAAAAATACTTACTAGCGCATGAACTCTTATCAAATTAGGTTTTTTGTCAGTTGTACACACCATATATTATTGTACGATACCTTCCATTATTTTAATGTATTATATTATATATACTTCAAACAATATCAAAATATCACTAAAATTATATTTCAACTGTACACATACATAAATACATTAATTAAGCAGATTTTATAAAAATTTACTAAGACGTGGTACTCTGCCGTACCTCCGTGTACTTTTTTTTATTGACATTCGATAATTGTTATTGAATTGTGTTTCAATACTTTGCTACATGAATAAACTTACAGAGGTTGGGTTCTTAGTTTTGCTACTAGAATACAGCAATATCGGTAGGCACATCATTTATATTATGTAGTATGTAATAATTGTGACTACATCTTTGTTTGTTAAATATTAATTATCACGCAACACGCTTATTCCAACTCCACATTAGTTGTAAACGTCGACGCCATTACTACAGTAGACTTATTATAGATTATTACTATTTTTGTACGAATGACACTTTTATAGTATTCATTCAGTTCCTTAGGTATATCCACCACGATTATAATTCGAATACTTATATTTTTCACTTACACCTTCTCCAACTGTTTCCTATTGTAAATGTCTGTTCGTTTAAATGACTCTACGTTATAATAGTATATAATTTGATTCTCGCTCAGCCTGATACAATAATTATAACAATTATTACAACACTTGACAGTAAGAAGATATAGCGTTAGCCGTCTTATACATAGCATTGTATTTGTTTTCAGTTTCGTAAACACAAGATACGTCAGCCCGCCAGAAGGCATCTGGCGGCTGTTTTCGTACGAATTGCACAAGAGAAGTCACACGATCGTCAGACTTCCTGTCCACCTAGAAGGTCGACAAAACGTCTACTTTGCGCCGGGACAAGCGCAAGAGCGGTTGCAAAACGAAGCTCTACATCGTACGAGGCTAACTGAGTTCTTCGCGCTCAACATAAACGACGTGGAAGCTCGACAATACCTGTACACCGATATACCGACGCATTACACGTGGAACGCGGCTCAGCGGACGTGGGCGCGGCGCCGGAGAATGATGGCAAACGAGACGTTGGCTCGGATGTACATCGTCAACCCGCTGGATCGGGACCGTTTCCACTTGCGACTGCTACTACTGAACCGAAGAGGTCCGCAGTCCTTCCAAGACATAAGGACGGTGGACGGGGTCGTTCACGGAACGTACACCGCGGCGACAGTCGCACTCGGGTTATTGGAAGACGACCGAGCGTGGCGGGCCTGTCTGACGGAATCGGCGGCGTTGGACACACCGCGGCAACTGCGATATCTGTTCGTCACGATACTGGTGTTCTGCGAGCCGTCAAACCCGCTGGCGTTGTACGAGGCGAACGAAGCAAACCTGATGGAGGATTTCAATAGGCGCCTCCAAGACGTCGACCGCGCGAGGGCCGCGTGTCTGAACGCCATCGGGGATCTACTTCGTGCGCACGGAAAGTCGCTGGGCGACTACGGTTTGCCCCTGCCCGACCCCCTAATGCTGGAACCGGAACAGAACGACAGACTGTTCCAAGCAATAGACGCGGCGGCACGGTGGGCACAACAGTTGGACGACATGAACGCCGAACAGCGAATGGTGTTCGACCGCGTAATGGCGGCCGTCGACGACGGCCTAGAAGCAGCGAAGACTTTCTACGTCGACGGACCTGGCGGCACCGGAAAAACGACTCTGTACGGATGCCTCATTTGGTCGCTCCGCAGTAGTGGCCCGTCGGTGTTAAGGTCTATTTCCACATGTCCGTTACGGGTACGGGACGGCAAAAATAAAAATGATCGTTGACATTTGTTTAAATGCACCTATTTTCACATGGACGGAACGGGTCCGATCCGGGATGGCCGGGTGGTGTCTGGGGAAAAAAATATAAATCGCGACGATATTTTCTCGGCCGACCTGGATTCAATTTACCCGTCCCGGTCCGTATCGGATATATGTAAATACCCTACCGGGAAAAATAGTACAAAAACATGACTTTGGCTTAACAATTTCGATTTGCACTGACTTTAACATATTGGCAGTTAAATAACATATCATATAAAATTTAAAAGAACTTATTATAAATTATAAAATATGTTAAGTTATATTTTACTGACTATTGGAACTATACTCATAAACATTTTTAATAAAGTTAATATTATATTAATATTTTTGTTCATTGTAGAAAACGGTATATAAAATATTTAAAAATATAGATTATTATTTAAAACTATTGTCTAGGAATTGTAGTTATACAATATTATTTTAATTTTATATTACTTATGTTTGCTATAATTTGGTATCTATTATTATCTATATTCTAAAAATAAGTTTTATTTTTATATTATTAAATATTATTTAAAACGTTGTAATAATATTAGATATTGAATTATTTTATACCTACCGATTATTATCAGTTATCCCTTTGAAGTTTGAAGTGTAATGACGTATTTTGTCACAAGTTAATTTATTCATTTGGTGTATAATTTTTATAACCAACATAAATTTCCATATTATTATCAACGTTATTAGATTTTTAGTTGTGTTCTTAACAATGAATAACGAAAAATTAATAGAAATCGTACGTAGTCATATAAGTTTATATGATCTATCTACTAGTGAATATTCTGATGCTAACTACAAGGAAAAAATTTGGAAAGAAATCGGTGAAGAAATGAAACAACCAGGTATGTTAATAAGATTATTTTAAAAATAATTATTTACTAAAATTATCAACTATCTTTTCACACTATATAAAACTTATTAGCACACTATTTTTATATATAAATATATATATAGCCATATAGGTATGTTGTATTTATTATTATTATTATTTTAATTATTATTATTATTATTAAGACTTGCGTCTATCAAAATAAAGAAAATCCTCAGTACATCCTCATACGATACATTGAAAAATAACAATATCATGTAAATAATTTCAAAACTGCAAAATAAATGTTTATTATTATATTTAATAAAATAATAACTTATAAAATTGTATATACTATAGTAGGTTATAATAAAAATAAGTAATAAATAATTACATGATGATAAATGTTTTCAAATTTTCAAATTTTGCCATGAAACTGAACCAGCTGAAAAGCTAAAATATGTTTTGTATATGTCTCTGACTGTAAAAGCTTGTTGTGTTGCATTTCCACCTTGAGCTGGCATATTTTCTAGTGTTGAAACTTGTGTGGTGGTAGAAAAATTATTTATTTCAGATGAATGTTTATAATTAGAAGCGGTGTTTTCGTGTTTTTTAATAAAATTATGCAAAATACATGTCGCTAAAACTATTTATTGTATTCGTCTATTATAAATTCTGTACTTTTGAACCAATATTCCAAAGACATTTTCAGAGCAACGTCTGGCTCGAGACAGCCAGCTCGAGATAATTATATATTCTTTTTGAGTCATCATCCAACTGTTTACCAGGGAAAGGTCTTAAGAGATTTCTTTTCAACGGAAAAGCTTCATCCCCCACAATCACATACGGTGCCTTATTAGTGGTGCCAGGCAGTTCAGTATCGTCTGGTATATTTAATTTTCCTTCATCCAATGCCTTTCCAAATTTTGAATGTGCCAATATTCCCCCATCACTGTTCTTGCCGTATGATCCAATATCAACAGCTATAAAATTATACTGCATATCAACTAATGCCAGCAACAGTACCGAGAACGTTTTTTTATAATTGAAAAACTGTGATCCACTTTTCGGAGGTGCTTGAATAACGATGTGTTTTCCATCTATTGCGCCAATACAGTTAGGGAAATTCCATGTACTCCAAAATTCGTTAGCGATTTCTTTCCAGGTCTCCGTGGTTGGCATTGCCATTACCTCTGGCATTAATTTTGGGAAATTATACTACATGTTTCAATTACAATGTTGTAAACTGTAGTATGGCCTAGACGGTAACTGAATGAAATGGTTTTCAATGAATCACCAGTAGCCAAGTACCTATAAAAAATAAATTTATAAATATAATATAATTATACGTTTTTAAAACAAAAATTTATCGTATCTACTATTTAGTTTAAAATCTATATTTTAGTTAAAGATGTAAAATATATATAGGTACTCGTGAATATCCATTATAACATATTTAAGAAATAAGAAAATTTATATAGATACTGTGTTTATACATTTTTAAATTTTTTGGGTACAAAATAAACTGTTTTTGAGAAACTTTGCTTAAAATGTTCAATCCTTATCTATAAAAATTTAACATTTCATAAATTTTTAACTAAAAAATATTTTATAAATTTTCGAGATTTTAATGAGTTCTATCAAAATGCGAACTTTCAATTTTTTAAAAATTATGACTAACGAATTTAGATTCGTTCAAACCAGATACGTATAGGTACCATTTATGAGGAATATAGTATTAAATTTTGAACATTTTTGATCAACTTAATTTTTTTCCTGACATTTCTAGAAAAATACAAGACAATTTCAACTATCTATAAATACCTCAAAAATATAGTCAAAATATTTTAATGTAAAATATCATGTATAAAAAATAATGAAATGAACATGTTGTTTAAAAGTCGTATAAACACGGTAATTAATTTTTGAATTATAACAATGAAAACAGAGAAACCATTTTGTTGAATAATCGTCGAAATAAAAATACCACAAGTATAATGTATCTTATTCTATTCAAAGGACACTGCCCGTTACTTGTAAAATAAATAAATAATTGAAAGACAATAATATTCATGAAAACAATTATTGCTCTTTGTACATTTCAAAATAGTTATAAATGTTTATTAAAGTTGTCAAATGTTACCATTTTAAAATTGAAGTATATTTTAAAATTGTATTTATAATATTAATATTTTATATTTTAGCTGCCTTATGTAAAAGTAGGTGGACAAATCTTAGAGATCAGTACCGTAAATCATTGAAAAAAAAGGTTACAGTCAGTGGACAAGCAGCGAAGAAAATGAAAAACTACAAATATGAGGACCAACTCAGTTTCTTAAAGCCTTTCTTCCAAGAAAGAGACACTATATCTAATATAAATTATGAAGAAAGTAATACTGATGATGAAGGTTTAGGAAATGTGGAAAATGGACAAGATGAATCGTTCGAAGTAAATGTTGTTGACAAACCCGACATAACAGAAAACGATACAGCAACTGATTTCCAAAATTCAGCAGTTAACCGTAGTGCATCAGGTAAAATAAAGAAACGTTGCGAAGAAAAACCAGTTGAATCTGCTTCTTCGATACTCATGAAATATTTTATAAAAGAGAATGAGAAAGAATTAAAAGAAAAGTCAGCAAGCGCTGATCCAGTTGATTCATTTTTGAATGGTATTAGTGTAACGATGAGGACATTTACACCATACTATTTGAATTTGGCAAAAGCCAAAATATTTTCTATTGTTCAGGACATCGATATGCAACAAATAATGGAAAACCAGAAGCCTGAGACAAATAGCTACAATAATCCTACATCGGCTACATCTTTATTTCAAATGTCTGGGCATCCCATTTGCCCGCCATCTCAAATAAATAACAGTTTGTATCAAAATCTATTATCAACAACACCCTCATCCTCATATCCAATTAACGCAAATTATTCATCTGAAATTTTAAACACAGAAGTTACTCCAAAATTACCATTAGATATGACTCAAGAAAATCAAACTCTGTTTTATACAAATATCAACCCTCGAAAGTAAATTTGAAAAATATCTAACTAACGCGTTTTAGTAAATATTATATAAAATAATAATTTATTAAAATAATTATAAAATAATATTTTAATAAAGTAAGTATTTTTTTTAATTTTAAACAGAGAATGTATTAAATTAAATCGACAGTTCATTTTTATATTTTTTTTAAGAAATCATTAAACACATTTGATTTTACAAAACCAATTTTATTCTTTTATTTTTTTATTTTTTAACTAGTACCATTATTTTTTTCAGCATTACATCTCTTACAACATATTAGATAAGTTGAGTAATTAAAATATAGGTATTCTAAACAACGATACTTTAGTCTTAAACATTATATTAGTTAATAATTGGGCGATATAATTATTTACCTTAAAGTTACAGCGAGTCGTTCTCTTGGAGGTATAGGTTTTCGCCAAAATGTCGTTTTTTTTTTAATATCATCCTCAACTTTATTTAGTAAAACATTAAATGAATACATAGACATTCTAAAATATTCATAAAATTTACGTTCATCATCTACTAGTTCTCTATACAAAGTATTGAACTCTAATTCAGTGCCACGCTTTTTCCATGCTTCGTGGACCCAAAAACGTTTTCGTTTTCTTGATGCTGTTTTAGTTACAGCAGAATATAATTCTTCTTCATCAAGCAGTAGTGCAAACGCAATTAAATTTTTTTTGTTTGTCGTCATATTCAAATCTAATAACTTAATATAGAACAAATCACGTGTATACTCTTCAAGTGCTGTCAGTCCGGGTGACTTGAAACTGAGCTGTGGAGGAAAATGAAGCTCCTATCTCACAATTTTTACCCAACAAATTACCCCCACCTCAGAAAAAAATCATATTTATCCCAAAACTGATTATAATACATTCAGATTAGGCACACACTTATAAAAATAAAAACCCGTCCAGGTCACAGCCCGGACTCTCCCCGTATATGTGTAAATAGAGCTTCCGTTACGGGCACGGTCGGCCCGGACCCGTCAAGTGCCCGTAACGGACATGTGGAAATAGACCTTTATGCGTCGCATTCACCGGGATCGCTGCGTCACTCATGGACGGAGGCATGACCGTGCACTCGACGTTCGGATTGCCGTTCGGCACGCTGACCGACGACTCTACATGGACCATCACCATGCAGTCCGAGCGAGCGCGCAAGATACGCGACGCGGCACTCATCGTGTGGGACGAGGCGCCAATGTCCCCGGGACTGCAGCTGACGGTGGTGGACCGCCTGCTCAGGGACGTCATGGGATCAGAATTACCGTTCGGCGGTAAACCCATGCTGTTCGCGGGCGACTTCAGGCAGATATTGCCCGTGGTCCGAAGAGGATCGAGGGCTGACATCGTCATGTCCTCGATCAGGCACAACAGTCTGTGGCGTGGCATGGAGCGCTTTAACCTGGTCCGCAACATGCGCGCCGACAACGACGCGCGCTTCGCCGCTTGGTTGCTCCAGCTCGGCAACGGTCGACTGCCCGCGGTCGACGGTGTCCCAGACACCGTGCAAATCCCCCGGGCAATGACATGTGACGTTGCTGATCTCATAGATTTCGTCTATCCGGAGCAAATGTCGTTGGCCAACGTCGACGACTTTTCTCGGAGAATCGTTCTGTGTCCCAGGAACGACGAATGTCGAGCCGTCAACAGGGACGTGCTTCAGCGCGTCGACGGTGCCCAGAGGAGCTACACCTCCATCGACACCGTGGTCGTCGACGATCCCGACGAAGTGGCCAATTTCCCCACAGAATTCCTCAACAGTTTGGAACCGGACGGCCTGCCGCCGTACCGGCTGACGTTGAAGGTGGGGTCAATCGTCATGCTGCTCAGAAATCTCGAACCGAAGAGACGGCTGTGCAACGGCACTAGGTTGGTGGTCACCGAACTGCGTCATCACAATTTCAAGGCCAGGATTTTGAACGTTGACGCACAGGACGATATAGTCGTGCCTGCGATACCGCTCACGTCCAGCGGCGAGGACGACCTGCCCATCATAATGCGGCGCGTTCAGTTCCCGGTGAGGTTGTCGTTCGCCATGACCATCAACAAGTCACAGGGTCAGACGTTCGACCGAGTGGGTCTGCTACTGCCGTCGCCCGTGTTCACGCACGGGCAACTGTACGTGGCGTTCTCGAGAGAGAGAAACGCACAGTCACTGAGAGTCGGCATGTACACCGATGTCACCAAGAACATCGTGTACAGGGAGGTTCTGGACTGATGCGTTGGTAATCATATCGGTTTAACACGGCTAATATATTTTTCAAACAAAATATATTACGCTGCTGTTATTCTCGAAACACTTAGCTCTGACACGGTTAATATATTTTTCAAACATAATATATTATGCTGCTGTTATTCTTGTAAGATGTCAAACATAGCTCTGACAAGGATAATATATTTTTCAAACACAATATATTGAGCCGTGGTTATTCTTGTGCTTTGTGGTCTTTGTGGTGGAGAGAAAGTTTGACAACCTCCACGTGGTTCTCTCTGGATGCGGATTCACTATGATATGAGTTCATAGTGAATTCGTAACTAATGTCAACATTTTTATTGTCATGTTATGTATTCGATAACTGTTATTACCTATAGTAATATGTTTACAATATATCTGTTACATAAACTATATTATGTGCCTTAAACATTATTTGATAATAATTATTAATTTGTGTCATGTAACAATTTGTACAAACTACACCACTGGGAATTGCTGTTAATTTATTTTTGTTCTATTAACGATTGAGATTTTATTTTTTTCATTAGATGTGTAACAATTGCAATTAATTAAAAAAAATTCTTATTCTGAGTAGGAATAATAAACATCATCATAGTTTATAGCGTTTAGTTAATTAAGAATGTTGCTGCTTAACTTATCTTATTTATCGTTTTGTCACTGTATAATTTTTTTATTTCACCATGTTAACATAACACCTGAGACAGGTGTATTTCATATGATATATGGTAAAATTTTGTACGCAATATAATATCACTGTGACTTTTTATTGTATTTTGATTGTATTCGATTTACTTACTGTAGAGCATTGCTTCTTTTAATAGTTGGATTTCATTCATGTATATTACTATTGTTCGCGACTCGTATATCGGGCCGTCTCCGTGAACAATAATGATGTTCCCAATCCGCGCTTCAGCCGATAACAGCGGTTGACAGATAAGTACGCGTAATATCACCGGCGGCGCGAACCGACGGACGCCGACGGCGTCCGTGTTGCGTCTGATGTCCTTTCGAGCCGCCCGTTGTCGTGTGTCCGGCGTCGGCGCTTTTGTGTCTGTTGTCGCCTCTCTCGCCGTACGTCCGGCAAGTTCGTAGCCGCAATGCCGCGTACCTAAGAGTTGTCCTCGCGTGCGTTTTGGCGTTACCACGGCATATCGAGCCCGTGCGTCGTTGCGATCCTAATACTGTGCACGACTGCACGAGTTACTCAGAAATTGCTGTAAGTCCGATTCGGCTGTCGTTTAGACTGAAGTCAGCACAGTGCACCGTGCGATATAGTGCGTCCGTTATTTCAATTATCACGTGGTTTTGCTCGTGGTCGAAACCGACCGGTTCAACGCTGTCGTCATCGAACAAGTGTCGTTGGACCTGTCAACATCATAATATATCGCGGTACTACTGGTCGACTGGTTGGTGGAATTGAGTTATCAACTAATCAGTATCTTCACGCATATCACGGTCGTATCATCATTATCTGTTATTATTATTGTTTAATTTACGTGTCCCCGTGACCTAGTTACGGTCTTATTATAATTTATTGTAATTTGTTACTTGTATACGTACGCAAGCCCTGTGTTTGCCGTCGTTTATTATTATTAATTTTACTGTGGAGACGTCCACCCCAATTTTTATGAATTGTTTAATACATATTATTATATCATCATTATTACACCATCAAAATTTGAGTTCCTTTTATTTATAGTTTTACCATCCTACTTGTAAGTACGAGTCTTTGGAGCTAACTGTGCATTAAGAGCTCCATCGGCGATCAACTATAATAACTTGAAATACAACACTTTGCACACACCATGTCACCGAAACTCTATTAGTTCATTTATTTAATATTAATAATTGAGATTTTATTTCATTTTAAGATTTGTATTGCTATAATTTGTTGTATTTTTTATTATGTTATTCATGTTTTTTATTAGTAAATTAGTAATTATTGTCACTATTGTTATTGTTGTTATCATATTTAAAAATGTAATTAGTGTTATTATATTATGTAAATTGGGCTCTGCCCATATTGTTAATAATAAATAAATAAATAATACAAATTGCAATTCATTAAATTATATTAACAACGACAATATTTGATTTTATCACTGTAGAAGAGTAGCGTTCTGTACTTGAAATCGAACTAATCAATCAATATAGTAGATTAATAATATCTATAAAAAATCAATTTCACACTGTATGTGAATATAATTATATTAAAAACAATAATTTGTGAAACAATCAATTGGTCGTAATGGAATACTCATGGGGCATAGTAGATATCTTACTAGAAATAATACACACTAAGTGTTATTACTCAGTTTATAAAAAGTAAATAGCAGTTGTCAAGTTCTACAGCTAATTGTTACATGTACATCTTCGTACAAACCACTCAAACTCTTAGGTATTTTGTATTTTCATTTATTTCACTGAACCTTAGAATATTGTCTGACTTTAGATTCCAACACTGTATGTAATATATTCAATTATACTATCGTATTTCATTGACTGGCCTACCATAATACCGTATTCGATGATGGTTCACTACTACACACCAGATTTTTAATTTCTAATTGTTGTTCTATTGTATGAATACATAAATAACTGATGAAAATTTAAATTCCATTCTTACCACGCACACAAAATATGGAAATTACAAAATACCCAATAAAAAAAAAAAATAAAAAATACCCAGTTGAAAAGGAACATAAATTAGAGAAAAACACATGTCTTTTGATAATAATTCATTAGTTTATTATTCAGCTGAAAAAAAACAAAACAATTGAAAAGTATTATCAAAATTTCCAGAGTAAAGAATGTTCCTGTAAAAACTTACTGTTGGCCGGTGGCAGTTGTTCTGCAATCGCCTGAAAATAATGCGCTCAATTAGATTTAATTATTCTTTTTTATACACTAAAAATAATATTCTTACGTCTTCAGTCGCTGACGTCGGCCCACCGCCCCCATGGATCTCCTGAAATTAATGGGTTTATTTATATTTAAGATTATATTATATTATTATCAAGAGCCATTTTAACTATACAAAATATACTTGCCTTTGTGGCCGTACTGCGGGGGGTTGGCCCGGAATGTAGTTCGCGTGCTGCCCGCTGAAAACAATGTATTTTATTAGAACCAAGCGCTTTCCAAAAAGAGAATATTTTCTAAACATACAGAGTGACTTACTTCGTCCTGGGTCAGGGTGCGGTCCGACGTCCCCGAACACCTTGACAACCGGGAGCGGGACCGTGAGCGGATACGCAGCGTGGAGAGCGGCAGGGAAAACGAGCGTTCCCTGCTACCGCCGTTGCTCGATCCACCGCTACGTCTCAAGCTCCGGTCCCGCTCTCGGTCGGTGTTCGTGCGGCCGCGGGCCCCACGGCCACCACGTCGGTTTCCCCGACCAGGCCGACCACCGCCCCTACCCGCGCCACCCCTACCGCTCCTCCTCCCACGATTGTCTTCTCGACTTCTCTGCCGGGCTACAATACGAATTACATACACTTATATAATTTTTATTTTAAGAAAAATGTTAAATACACACTCACTGCAGTCCCGAGCCAAGTGCCCCGCTCCACCGCAGTTGTAACATACTGAAAAGGGGAAACATAATTTACACTTTCATACTTATATATTACATATTATTATATTTACTAATTTATGCTTACATCGGGGCCTGGCCGCGTCGCCGAAATACAACTGGCACCCTCCACTTATGTTGTACACATATTGTGCCGTTCTAAAGTTCATACATAATAAATAAATAAAAACAATTATAATCGTATATAGGAAAAAGTGATTTAACGATACATAGAAATAAGATGGTAGGAAAAAATATTTAACACGTTCAACAGAAACCATGTGGCCCGCACAAAAACTAGAGCCCAGTTTTGTACATAAATTTATATTATTATACTATATTACAACAATATATACGTTATGTTAATTAATAAATACGATCTGCGGTGCACGTGTAAAAAACAAAAAAATAATTTAATTGCTAAAATTATTTAATTACTTTAACAGAAATCACGCGGTTCGCACAAATTTAGATCACCTTCGAAAATTTATATTTTATACAATAATTTTTCAAATATAAATATATAAAAACAATTACATTTTTATGTGTCTATAATATAAATATATATAGAAAAAGTGATTTGACGATACATAGAAATATGACGGTAGGAAAAAATATTTAACACGTTCTACAGAAACCATGTGGCCCGCACAAAAACTAGACCCCGTGTTTGTACATTAATTTATATTATATTATTATATAAAACAATACGTATATACATACTATTATTAATAATGAATAAATGCGATCTGTAATGAACGTGTAAAAAACAAAAAAAAGAACTTAAATTACCAAAATATTTAGTTTAACGGAAAGCACGCGGTTCGCACAAAACTAGGTCACGCTTTTCTTCGCAAATGTATATTATATATTATAATAATATACATCATACTATAAACATTATATTATTAATAATGAATAAATGCGATCTGTAGTGAACGTGTAAAAAACAAAAAAAAAAAAAATTAAATTACCAAAATATTCAATTAATTTAACGGAAAGCACAAGGTGCGCACAAAACTAGGTCACGCTTTTCTTCGCAAATTTATAGTAACATAATATAATATATATATTATATTATTAATATTAAATAAATACGATCTGGGTGAACGTGTTTTAAAAAACATTAAGTAAAAAAAATTTTGAAAAATATTAAATTGTATACTCACGATTTATTATTGACCGCCATTTTATTTTATAATAATAATTATATATAATATTATTATAACACGTCTTCCACGACAGTCAGCAGTCTAAGAAAGTTGCGCCAGTTCATTAGTTAATTGTTTTAGGACGGTTTTCACAGACATTATTTAAAGTTACAATCCCAGGTAATCCGCGCGGGTGACAAAAATGACCGTAAAGCTGATTAATTCATTGATTGTATTTGCCATATTTTGTTTGAACTCGAACGCGGCATTGAACCTAACATTTTTTGTTTTTTTTTTTTTTTCATTACAACCACCTTTACTCCGAAATCGGTATTTCCTCAACGTCACTTACTTGCTAGACACTCAAATACGGCTCATAAGTTGTACTCTTTGGTTTAGACTTTCGTAAAAGCACAAGACTGGACAGTTCAATCACATATTTCAAGACTTTTAAACGTTCCCGCCTTCGAAACGGCACCACGAAAATGCATTATCACAAATCCTTATCACCTTCTCTGACATTTTCTAGGACCCCTACAAACGCGACTTTTATAGTTTCGACTACTCAGTGTCCGCAACGGGTACCCACTTTCAGCTAACACGGGGGGTCTGGGGGTCTCCCCCAGCGACGCTCGAAGAGCTAGTCTTATAATATAAAACGAAAACCCGAGGGCGCCCTCGGTGCACTAATTTCGCATCTACTTAAGGGAGAAACAATGAAAACGCTCCGTTTCCCCGCCGGCGGCGGCGAGCGTAATCACCATCTCTTATCACTATCACTAGGTACTACTATGTTTGTGATTTTATTTGAGATTCTTTGAGTTTTACCCCCCTCGAGGGCCTCGGGTCGCCCCGTTCGTGCTCCCATCGCGAGTTTAAAGTCGGTAAAGTCGGGTTTCCCTGCGTTCGCCGTCCGCGGGGCCCTAAACTTTGATCGCAAAAATCGTTTTCTATATATACATATATATATATATATATGTAAATTAAATTAAATTAATTAGTATTAAATAGAAAATAAATAATAAATAACGTGCGATGGATATTTTGAACTGACCGATGTATATTATAAATCTATGATGATTAAATAAATAATTCGATGTCTGACTGATGACAGTACAGCTGTGACTGAGCTTAACGCACAAAAAACAATTCTAAATTCTGGGTCTCATATCGTGTAAACTTATCTAATTAATATTTATTTTCTTCAAATAAACTGACATTAACTAGACGTTGTTGGGCGCACACACATTTGTGTTGTTTGAATTTACTCACAGATAGTAGTACATAATAAATAGGTGCTGTTACATTTTTATTAGAGAATTGTTGAACACAAATATTACACTGGATTTTATATTGATGAGCAACGTTCAACTGTTTTTGTATAGTTCAATGTATGCTCTGTTATGTGGTACATTAATACATAGATCAACACGAGTAAGACAATATTCACATATATTAAAATAGATAACTACTCTTTAACTATATTTCATAATAATTCATTATATTGTGTCAATGTGTATGTGTAGTCCATATTAGTATAATTTTTAACAAGATATATCAAAAAATGCAGTGTATTCGCATAATGTATGAACATAATGCATGACATGTTGATGATTACGGTTATTAATTGTATGCACTATAATAATATATTACAGTTAAAGTAACTTTTAATACATTTCATTCAAGCAGTCTATACACACCTAATGTAGTAATGTATATTATATATATATGGACAATTATTGATAGGAATTATTGTAGTATACACACACCAGAAACATATAGAAATGCAATTCGACGTTTAATTTTACACAACTCTTAAGAATTTAATCGGTTAAGCAATGTTTAGTGCAATATTTGTTATAGTAGAAAAACAGCTCAAGTGTGGTATATTTGACATCTATCCGCATCTCACATGTTCATGTCGACATAAATAAGACAGCATAGACATTTTTTTTTTTGTTTCAACTGACAATATCATAAGGGCCTTAGCCAAGAAAAATGTACTTTAATGTAATATAATATAAACTAGAATTTATATAATAAACTCATTAACTATATCTAACGGTTGAATGAATTGTGTATATTATACCTGCCCGTGGTAAAAATCTAATACATCAGAAATTGTAGTGTATTCGCATTTGTATGCATGTCTGTGATAACCTTTATTAATTAGAATGCGACGTTAATTGACGCATCACGACCCAAGTATGAATTAAATTTGAAAAAAATAAATTCAAAAACAGTGTATATTTATCTAATGCAGTATAATATATATTTAATTAATGATGGAAATTGAATTATATACACACCGGATAAGTAAGGAAATGCGATTTAAGGTTTAATTACACACAATTCTTATGAATTTAATCGGTTAAGCAATTTCTAATGCATGATTTGCTATAATGGAAAAACAGCTTAAGTGTGGTAGATTTGAAAACAATCCGTACCTCAAATCGTAGGTAGGTAATGTTAGGCGTTTAGGTCACAGTCCCCGTGGAGTAGGTTTCGATCATAGACATAATAATATATGGACTGCGCTTTCCTCACCTCCAGTCTATCATATCTGGTCGTCGAAATTGTTTGAGAGAGATGGCGATAGTTGGGGGCAGTCATGGAAGTAATACGTCTATATTTTATACACCATGAATATATTTATTATTAATCATCATAGACGTCATAATAATGTCTATGTTATTAATAGATGTATAAATGTATAATAATAGTAAATAATAAATAATATAGTATATTTTTATATATATATGTATATATTATAGTAAATATTTGCTAATACTTGCCTTAATAGTTATGAATTATAATAGTCACTCTATGTCTTTATATTATTGACAATATCCACATATCTACGCGATAGACGTATAATCCACATATAACAAGCGATATATTGTGTAATTATAAAATTTATAATATATATTATAGTGTTATTTTACTTTAAAAATAATTATGAAAACTTGTTCTGTTAAAAACTGTAAAACAACAATAAAAGAACTCGGCATTAAAATGCATAGGTAAGTACCTAGTTAAAATTCATTCTTCCTTTTGGATAATAACCTAACCTTGTAATATACTTAAATATTTAGCATACCTAAAGGAAGTCTTGGTGAACAATGGATTCATCGGATTAAACAACATAATCCTGATTTTCAACCAACGAAATATAGTGTTATTTGTAGCAAGCATTTTATTGAATCAGCATATTATATAGGTGGAATACATGGCAATCCAATATTGAAGAAAACTTCTATACCAAGTGTATTCAAGAAAAGTGAGTATTCTTCTTTTTATTTTAATATAATTAAAATAATAATAATATAATATATTTTCATATTAATATTATATAATTACAGATGTTAATAAAAATTTGTTTCCTGTTGAAAATATGGATATTATTGAAGTATTTGATGATAATTGTACTGAAGAAATTAGTAGTTCACTATCTACCAATGATTTAAGTGCTAAATGTTTGTACCTATTTAAACTAATTTTTCATTACTATTTTTCAAAATGTGCACCTAATTAGTTTTATTAATTTAAGGTAATTTGCCAGTAAAAATCAGTCTAACTGAATCAAAAAATACAGAAACAGTTCCTAATCTTAGTAATACACCAACCTGCACAAAAATAAGCTCCAATATTATTAACACCCCTATATCCACAAAAAATAGGTATATGTGTATTTTTTAATATGTTTTATTATTTAATTTAAAAATGTACTAATATGATGATATTATACAATATATATGTATATTTTACATGTTTTTAGGAAACGCAAATGTTTTGTGGGTGATTTCAAAGACATTGCTGAGATAGATAGTCCAAATAGTAGGCTGAAATATTGGATTGCTACTAAAAATGAACATGAAAAACATATAAAAAAAATTAAATCATTAAGAAAAGAAAATTATAGACTTGAACATAAAATAAAAACAATGAATAACTTGATTACTCATTTAAAAGATGAAAAGAGACTGATCTCAGATAATTGTTTTTCTGTACTTAAGGTTAGATTATTTTTTAATATGATCTTTTATACTGTCTTGTGGTGCATGTTAAAAATAATATTTAAATTTTTTTTTTTCGGTTGGTTGAGGAACAACCTGCGTTTATATAAACCAAGAACCCAGATGGTCACTTATCCGTGAGCCAGAAATACAAGATGGTGTTTGACTACAGCACATATTAGTGACTACGATCATTGATTAAATATAGATTATTATAATATACTTAATCAATGCTGCGGTCAACCACTTTGCCCCACCAGGCTCCATGCTAAATATATTTTGTATAGATTTAATTATGTTAAATAATAAATATTAGTATTTTAAAGTTGCTTAATTTCTTTTGTGGTGCATGTTTGTAGGTACTAGATTTTATGTGTTGTGTTTTATTGTTAAATATATTTATAGTAGTTTAATTAATTAAATTACAGGAGTCTTTGCCAAGTTTTGAAAGTGATATTATTATGAAACAATTAAAAATTGCCACTTGTAAAATAATAACTCCTGAAATTCGAAAATTTGCACTCACTTTACATTTTTATTCCCCAGCTGCATACAATTATGTACGTGATGCTTTTAATAAAAACCTTCCTCATCCAAGCACTTTAAGAAATTGGTACTCTACTGTAGATGGCACTCCTGGATTCACATCTGAATCATTAAATGTTTTAAAAATTAAATGTAAAGAAATGGAAACAAAAAACAAAAAATTAATATGTGGTTTGATAATGGATGAAGTTTATATAAACGATCAAATACATTACAATGGTGAAAGGCAACAAGGATTCATTAATTACGGAGCTGGTAAACTGGATTCTGATGGATTACCTAGGGCCAAAGAAGTGTTAGTTTTCATGTTGGTAGCTTTAAATTCCAATTGGAAAATTCCAGTAGCGTACTTTTTAGTCAACGGTTTAAACTCGCAGGAGAAAGCAAATTTAGTATGTACAGTTTTATCATTTGTTCATGATACTGGAACTTGTGTAAAAACACTGACTTTTGATGGTACAGCAGCTAATATGTCCATGGCCACAAACTTAGGTGCCAAACTTTCATTCCCTGATCTTAAACCATATTTCAAACATCCTGAAACGAAAGAAAATGTCCATATATTTGTTGACCCAGCCCATATGATAAAACTATGCCGGAATACCTTAGGTGATTGGAAAGTACTCTATGATGAAAATAAATATCCGATCAAGTGGGATTATTTTGTAAAGCTTGTTGATTTACAAGAAAAAACTGGTGTCCATGCAGGAACTAAAATTCGTACTCGTCACATTCATTACCAAAAAGAGAAAATGAAAGTAAAACTAGCGGCACAAACATTTAGCTCCAGCGTTGCCGATGCATTTGATTATTGTTGTAATATTTTGAAGTTAGATGAGTTTAAAGACGTTGAGCCTACATCAACATTTTGCAAAAATATCAACAATATTTTTGATGTTTTAAATTCCAGAAATTTTTTAAGTAAATCCGAATTCAAAAAACCTTTGTGGCCAAATAGTGAAAATCATATAAAAAATTTTATTAAGAAGTCAATTACATACATAAAAAATTTAAAAGTGACTGAAAAAAATTCCCCAAATACGTTACAGTCATTAATTACTTCTAATAGAAAAACTGGGTTTATTGGCTTAATTATTTGTCTAACAAGTATTGAAAATTTCTTTGACGATGTTATTAAAAATGGAATCCTTGACTTTTTTTTATCTTACAAAATTTCACAGGATCATCTTGAGATGTTTTTTTCCGCAATAAGGGCAAAGGGTGGGTTTAATAACAACCCCACAGCATCGCAATTTGAAGCTGCATATAAGCGTCTTATTATACACAATGAAATTAAATTATCTTCCTTTGCAAACTGTGAACCTCAAGATTTAACTTCTATATTATTTGTAACTTCATCTAAAAAAATTCAAACAACTAATTACTTAGATCTTTTATGTATAGAAGAAGAAGTGTCAGAACACGCAGAACAAAATCTAATTACAGATGATGAAATGTTTCTTTTAAATCCTAATGAAATTAAATATGTTAATGATGTAATAGAATATATATCTGGATTTGTGGTGAGGAAAATTATTAAGAAAATGTCTTGTTCAATTTGTGTAATGGCAATGATTGAAAAACATGTAGAAGTTGGGTTAGAACTAATACAAGTGAAGAATAGAGGTGGATTAATGAAACCGTCGTATGACATAATAGTTTTATGCAAAGCAGCTGAACAAGTTTTTAAAACACATCAACATCAACTATCAACCATTAAAGATAACCCTATTAATTATCTTATTATAAAAGCAACATCAAAAATACAAATTAATAATATGTTTAAAAGTTTATCAGATCATATATTAAATCAATCACCACTCAATAATCACCTGCTGCAAATAATTCACCAAACTTTAAAAACATATTTTACAGTGAGATTACATCATTTTAACAAAACTATAAGTGAACCCAAAGAAAGAATAAGATCTTTTTTAACAAAAACTGTACATTTTAAAAACCAGTAATTTTAAAAACATTATTATTATATACTATTATTATTTAATATTTATATATTATTATTATACTTGTATTTTTAAAAGGGAAAGTTGCTGTTTGTTTTCAAATTATTATAGATATCAAATAATTTACTTACAGTTAAAATACTATTAAAAATGTAACCCATGTCCTATATTGCATTACACATATTAATTATTTTAATGATATTTCGATCATTATTTATTGTATATAAATTTGTATTTTTTTATTCTTTATTTGCACTTTGTTTTACAAAATATACGTAAATTTGTCACATAGGTATTTGGTATTTTGCTGTACAATTTATAAAAGAAAAACTTATTAATACAATTATATGTTATTCATATTACTTTTATTATGCACTTCTCCGATATATACTTGCTTATTGCTTAATAGTTTTATTACTTGATTTTCATCATAGATATTACAACACATTATGTCTAAGACATAATAATATTATATTATTTTGATTTTCACGCAGTTTTTACTTTTTATTATTAATTGATATTGTTGTTTTGGTGATAACAGAAACTAGATAATGATTATTTCATGGTGTAAATAAAAATACTCTATAGTTTCTTCCATGCTTGCCCCCAACAATCGCTATCTCTCTCGGTTTATATCGGTTCCGGTTTTCTCTCTCTGAGCGCAGTCCATATATTTTTATGTCTATGGTTTCGATACGGCGGCAGTGTTGAATTTGCGGCGGTCCATTGAGTAGTACGGCAGCCCGATTTTTTTGCATTTTTTTCCGATGCTTTTCAAATTTCCCGTGTTTGTTATCACACTCCCGTTATCAGTTTTCGTATACTTTTTTAAAATCCGTTAATGATTAATAAATAAGTCATTATATATTTTTTATTATTGATATTTGTAGCTATTCTTTTTACATAATCTGCAAACTTACATTGAGTTATACTGATTGTACAGCTGTAACTGAACCCGACGTTTAAACGATTCTAAATTCAGTGTATGTTTTCAGTTCCATTTAATCCGATACACTGACTTGGAATGAATTCACTCAAACATACTTTATAATATTAAATGTAAAATATATTTAGAATGATTGATGTAGATTATAAATCCAGGATAGTATACTGGATATTTTGTAAACGTACATTCAATGAGCAACGTTCAACTGTTCTTATGTTGTCTAAAGCAGTGTTTCTTAAACTGTGTTCCACGGAGCCCTAGGGTTCAGCGAAGATCATTTGAGGGTTCCGCGAAAGTCCTGTGCTGTGCTTTTATCAAAATTCAGAAAATAGAAAAAAGCTAGAATTCTAGAGGTAGCTAGTGGGAAAACCCGTTAGACGTGCACAATATATTGTAAAAGATATTATTAAATTGTTAACAAGAGTCAATAAAATTACAGTTCATTTTTTTTTTAATGAGTTTTAATGATGGCGATAAGGGTAACGACGATGGCATGACAGTATCGAATAATTATTTATAACCACATGTTATCGTATATTAAATAATAATATACGATATTATTATACGAAGTATAATATTACCAATATTATACTTCAGTACGTATTCGTCCATTCGTAGTCGTCCGTTAACCGTTTTTCGTCGTCAGATGTGTGTGGCAATTTATTAAAATATGAGTAAACAAAAGAAGTTGGATTTCTTTTTAAAAAAATCCAAATACTAGTGTAATTACTACTGCTGAGGAACCAACACCATCAACGAGTGATGTCACATCTTCGTTGGAACCAAAACGGAAGAAACCGAAAATTCGTAAGTACGATCTCTCATACCTAGCGTTCAGGTTTACATATTATAAAGATAATTGCTCTCAATGCGTTGTTTGCTCGGAAATTTTAACTAATAGTTCTATGGCTCCACCAAAACTTTTAAGACATTTGGAAACAAAACACCAGCAGTATAAGAGTAAATCAATCGATTTTTTTAAAAGAAAAGAGAGTGAATTGAAAGCTTAGAAGACACTGATTCGAAATACGGGAACTGAAAATGAGTTAGCCTTTATTGGATCATTTTTGATATCACTTCGCATTGCAAAATCAAAAAAAAATTTTAACATAGGAGAAGACTTTTAATTATGCCTTCTATGGTCGATGCCAACCTTACACTTTTTGGAGATAAAGCTGCTAAAAAAATAAAAACAATACCTCTTTCTAATGATACAGTTTCAAATCGCATAACTATGATGAGCGATGATGTTCATCAGCAACTTATAAGAAAAATAAAAAGGTCTCTTTAGACTCTAAAGCAGGGGTCGCCAATCAGTCGATCGCGATCGACTGGTCGATCTTTCTATGAATATAGGTCGATCGTTATAAAAATTAATTTTACCATTATCGGTCGATCGCGTAATAAATAATCGGATAATGTGGATTGCTAAATTGTATTCTAGGAATTTACCATTATTGGTCAATCGGTAATAGTCAGAATTTTTTTTTTTATTTGAAAATAAATGCCTCGGCTACAATAAATGGTCAGAATTATTGTTAGTTATAACTCGACTGTCAATTAGTCGTCTTGTGCAAGACGTGTGCAACGCGTATATGTTCCGTATATTTTCGTTATTACGTTCCAAATTTATTTAGAATTTACAACAAATAAAATGAATCCAAATAAAAAGTGTAAAACTTATCATTTTAATCAGAAATGGGAGTTAGAGTTTTTTTTTGTTGACATTAAAGACAAGTGCGTGTGTTTATTATGCCGAGATACTCTTTCAATTTTCAAACGTGGAAACATAGAAAGGCATTACCGAACTAAACATGCAGATTTCGATTTAAAGTTTCCAACTGATTCCAGTTTACGAAAAGATAAGCTAAAAACCATGAAATTAAAACTGAACCAAGAGCAGTCTGTTTTTAAAAATACAAATAAATTGGCCCAAAATGTAACTATTGCTTCATTCAAAGTAGCATACTTATTAACAAAGAAGAAAAAACCGTTTTCCGATGGTGAATTAATTAAAGAAGCATTTAAAGAAGCTTCTGACTCATTGTTTACAGACTTCAAAAATAAAAGTGAAATTGTAGGTGCCATTAGTTCAATGCAATTATCAAGTAACACAGTAATGCGTCGTATTGGAGCCATATCTTCAAATCAAAAAACTCAACTACAGACTGATTTATCAAAATGTTCATACTTCAGTTTACAAATGGATGAGTCTAACGATATGATTGATACTGCACAGCTTTCTATTTTCATCAGAATGTGTTTTGACGATTTTTCTGTTAAGGAAGAGTTTTTAAAAGTCTTGTCGTTAACCGGAAGAACTAGAGGAGAAAATATTTATAAAACGTTTAAACAATTTGTAGAAGAAGAAGAAATTCCAATTGAAAAATTAGTTAGTATTACAACTGACGGAGCCCCATCATTTTGTGGAAATAAAAAGGGATTTTTAGCGTTATGTAAAAACGATAATTCGTTTCCTCATTTTTTTCAATATCATTGTATAATTCATCAACAAGCATTATGTGGTTCAGTTATAAATATAAACAATGTTATGGAACTTGTAGTGAAAATTGTAAACAGCATCAGAGGTAAGGCATTAAAAAGACGTCTTTTTCGTGAACTGATGGACGAAGTAGATTGTCATTATGGAGATTTACTATTACATTCTAACGTTCGTTGGTTAAGTAAAGGTAAAGTACTACATCGTTTTAAAGAATTATTACCACAAATTAAAATTTTTTTACAAGAAATTGATATTGTTTATGAAGAATTAGAAAATATAAAATGGCTTGAAGATTTTGCATTTTTAGTTGATATTACTGAAAAAATTAATTTCCTAAATTTAGAGTTACAAGGAAAAGAAAAACAAATTATTAATATGATATCAGATGTTCAAGCATTTTCAAGTAAATTAGCATATTGGGAAAATAAAATGAAAAATGGTGATTTCCAGCATTTCCCTACGCTTCAAGAAACAATAATTAATTATTCTGAAAATATTTATGAGCCTACAAACCACATAAATATAATTCAACATTTACGTTCCGAATTTAAAAGAAGATTCAACGACTTTAAAATACTTGAGCCAGTTGCGCAGTTTATATCAAATCCATTTTCTGGGGATGTTGAGACACGAGCGAATGAAATTGGAGATTTGTTTAATCTTGATAAAACAGTTTTGGAAATGGAAATAATAACGTTACAAAATGATTCAATACTTAAGATTACCTCGGAGTTTTGGAAACACGCAAGTGCTCAAAAATACCCAAATCTACGAAGCATTGCCCTTCGTGTAACTTCATTTTTTGGTTCAACATGGTTATGCGAGTCAACATTTTCGAGTATGAAATACTTAAAGAACAAATATCGGTCAAGAATTACAGACAGTAATTTAGATTCAAGTTGACGAGCAGCTGTTTCTAATTACTTACCAGAATTTTTAAAATTTGCAGGAAACCAATGCCAGGTATCACATTAATACATTTATAAAATCACATTATTTAAATAACAATTTTTTTTACTATTTCTCATGTATTATCAATATATTACATTATTATTATTATTATCATCATGAAGAAACAATAAATATTTATTCTTTGGAGCTTAGACCTTTTTTTTTTTTTTTGCTCGTAAAACTAAATTATCCTAGATGTCGATCACCTGGGACTAAAAATTTCAAATATAGCTCACTTGTTTGAAAAGGTTGGCGACCCCTGCTCTAAAGTATGCTCTGTCATGTGGTTAATTTATACTTAATTTATACTTAAATAAACATAAAAAAAGACAATACCTAATAAGATATGTTATAAGCTTATGTACTTTATTTTATAATTGATGTATTTGTAGATCTCTTCTTTTTTAACAAAAAATATCTGAAAAGGCAGTGTTCTTGCCTTTATTGCCTTTCATATCACATGCATGTGCATATATACATATTTCTTTTTTTTAATTCAATAAATTACATGATATTACTTTGAGTTTTTGGTTTTGTACTCGGTAGTCACAAGGTAAACCTATAGAATAGCTACTAACCTTGCTCATATTGGTAGTTAGATATTCAATTGTAGAATAGAAGTGAAACGTCTGTCGAATCAGCCTGTGTTTACAGCCACTGATACTATACTACCAATGTAATTCCCCAATCACATGATACCTAATGTATTTAGGGACAAATAATTTGAGTAGGTCAGTCAATGTTGTTAACTCATAATATATTAATATAATAGTATATTGATGTTGTATTTTGTATGCACATTGTGAATTAATAATTAATAAATACAGCATAATGTTTGCAGCCATTCTTTATACTGAAGTTGCATGTCTACATTTAGTTATACTGATGGTACAGCAGTTAAATCTCTATATACTAAACACAATTCTGAATTCAGTGTCAGAAAAAGTAATAAATACTGATATCATGTAAATGTATTTTTTTATCAAATTAAATTGACGTACAGAGCTATTTCTTCCACAACATTGTTGTTATAAAAAAATCAATATAAATAAGGCAATGTATCATAAAATTGTGAAAAAACTATAAAAATAAAAAACAATATATTAATTGATATTAATAGGTATTCTTTTTACACAAGCTGCATAATATTTACATTCATTTATACTGAAGGTTCAGCTGTAACTAAACTCTACATTTCAGAAATTCTAAATTCTGTGTCTATATTAATAACACATACTAATGTCGTGTAAATTTCTTTAATATTGATAACTAACTTATATAATAAACATAAATAAAACAATACCTCATAATATGTATAATAAACTCATGTAGGTACCTACTATATACTATATTGTATAATTGTCTTTATATATTTGTGTGTATATTAGTGTATACCTGTTCTCGCTGCGACAGAGCTTACGATAAAATCTGCAGTTTTCTGCCGCAACTTGCACCGATGGTATACAAGGACCGGGTGACCAACTTATGAATATATACAAAAAAAAAATGCTCAGGTTCCAATATAATAATATCACTGCCCACGGCTAGCGCACAGTATATATATATTACAATATAACTTATATATGAACAAAGACGTAATAATAATAATATGCGGGCGCCCAACACGTTGAAATACAAAATCATAAAATATCAGAACAATAATTGCACATATAATAATTCCTATAGATAGGCGCTTAAATACAAATGACTTTCAATGCCACAGGTATAAAAAAAATATATAATAATAATGGAATACTAATTGGGCATTAAGGTCGTTATATACAAATAATAATTTAAATGGCCACTGAACACGAGTGGAATGAGAATACGACCTGATGTCGACAGTACTGGACAATCTGTCTCCTCGATGCAGACGACGACTGCAGCTGATGATGACAAGCGCTCCGTTTAATTTAATTTGGGCACACTCGATTAAAACGTTCGAAGTGGCAAAATGACACCTCGTGATCACACGAGGTTTGGTTGCTACACGCAATACGAACGGTGACGGAGCACGTCGCTCTCAGGTCAACCGTCGGAAAAGAACAAAACCAGTGTTGCCAGAAGTTATAACTCCGAAATAGCTGTAGGTGAACTTCAAAATAGCTAGTAATAGCTAGATATAAAATATATCGTATAAATGTAACCTAACCACATTTTCATTTTTCATGTTTACTGCTCAACTTGCTGGTTATCAATTATCAGTTATCATTTAATCCCTTATCAGAAATGTATATAAAATAAAAACAAAATGATTAGGTACTTCTAGTAAATACTATATTCAAATTTAAGTGTTTCAAATATACATATAAATTACAATAACTTAAATTAAAACCAAGTTGGGTCATCTATTATATCTTCTTCGTTATCTTCAGAGATGTGAATAGTTGAAATAATTTCATCATATAAGTCGGTTTGTGAAGTTGCTACTGCCTTAGAACTACTAGTTTGTATTGGATTAGAAGTTGTTGGTATATTTTGTTTTTGGTACATTTCCTGTTTTCCAATCTGTTTTAATACGGCATAAGGTAACTCATAATCCGAACAACATTTTTTGTGTCTCCGTAATCCGGCTCTTATTGTAAGAAGTGAATCTAATAGCCTTGTACGTATCTTGTTACGGATCTTTGTCTTTACCAAGTTCATTTGACTAAAAAGTCGTTCCACTTCGGCATTAGACCAAGGTAACACGAGTAATCTTGTAGCAAATTCACTAAGTTCTGAGAATGGATTTGATCCAGACGCATCACGATAATTTGAAACTTCGCTCCAAAACTTTTGAGTGTTTGTATTTTCAATCCATTTTACATTTAAAATATTGTTCCACTGAACTTCGATTTTACTTATTTGATCATTTTCTAATTGCATTAGGTTAGTTAATGGTATGATTGGTTCTTTTATTAGGCTTAGAGTATTTTTTATTGAAAGGACTGAAATATTCTCAAGAATCTGAATGTTATGGGGAAGTCTTTGTTGTAGCTGTTTAAAAAGTAATATTAAAAACTTTTTACATCGATTTCTTAATTGCATTTCTGCATTTGAATCCATTTTCATATCATTAATTTTATTTTCAAACANTCTTATCTAGATAATTTATCTAGATAATTCCCAACACTGGTGGTGACTTATATGACATACTTGGACCAATCCTGCCATCACCTAACATATTCGTGTTCCTCCAGGTGACAGGATTGAACAAACTCATTTAACCTTCTGAACAACACAACTTTAAAATTGAAACTTTAATAATAATTTTTTATATCATTATATCACACTTATTTGTAAAAAAAAAAATGTATCTTACCCATTGGCCTAGTTGCCGAGGGTGAAAAAAAATCTCATAGAAACGACGAAACCCGATTAAACTAGTCCTTTTTAAATACATATGTGTATATTCTAACGCTATGATAAAATAAAACTGCCCACATAAACCTAATCGAGTGTCCATATTACACGGTTTTATTTAACATTGTCAATATACATTTGTATTGGGACCAGACATGTTTGCCCACAATAAGCGGATGCCCATACTAACCGGTGGCCACATTAAGCGGAATTCACTGTACTTTATTTTTTGAATTATTAAACCAGGATAAATTACACCTCCCCAAAAACGAGGTTACTGTAAAAAATATGAATTTCGTATTTGTCGCTGACGAAGCTTTTTCGTTGAGTGAAAATATTCTAAAACCATATTCTCAAAGAGAATTAACCTATGAAAAACGAATCTTTAATTATCGATTATCGAGAGCCAGGAATTGTGTGGAAAATGCATTTGGTTTAATTGCCGCAAGATGTAGAGTATTGCAAAGTGCTATACATTTAGCTCCAGAAAAAGCCACTTTCATAGTATTAGCCATATGCATTTTGCATAACTTTTTAAGAAAACGTGGGGCTCCTACATTTCAAGTTCTACATTTGATAGGGAAGATAACAATCATATTTTACAAAACAATGAATGGAGAGATACCTATAGTCAACTTCAAGGTTTACAACCCTCCCGTAATGCCTCCATTTCTATGCTTTCCAAAATGAACCGTGAGCAATATAAAGATTTTTTTAATAATGAGGGTTCTGTGGAATGGCAAGACGATATCCTTAAATTGGGAAGAGCCTAATGTTATGAAAGAAAATAGTTTTTTGTCTAAAATTGTAGTCATTACGATATAGTAAGTTATTATAGATGATATTATTATTAATAATATTTGAAAGGTACATATAAATATGTAAATTATTTTTTTAAGTACCTACTTAACTTATAAAACTGTTTACGTAAATCTACAAAAATACAATTTATAAGCTATTAAAATTATTAAGTATAAATTTAAATAATGGCATTAGTATTTATTTTCATTTGTAAATATTTAAATTTTTTTTCTGGAATTTAACTATTAAAATAGGAAGGAATCCATTAAAGGAGCAATAATTAATTATGATATTATTATGTAAGTAAATAACATTTGTTGTAATAATATGTTGAAAGATTATATTTATAATTTTTTTTAAATAAAATATTTTAACACGTTAACTGCCACTTACATTTTTCGTACATTGCCCGGAAGGCCATGTGTACATTTTTGTGTACACGCCATAAATTGCCAAACTTGCTTTCATGTACATTATTTTGTACACTGACGTTTTTGAACTCACCATCTCCGTGTACAAAATTCTGACACGGTACTGTTGATTTTAGATAGGAATATGAATCTCGTGGCCCTTTAGACAATTTCTATATTTTTAGCGAACACGTAGCAGTACTTGTTACTATTGTAATCTACTTTTAATTTTGACTTATTTTAGACATCTGAATTGAATGTATTCTCTAATAAATATTAATAAAAATACAAATATGTATATGATTTTTATTTTACATATTCCACTTTGACATAATATAATTATTAAAAAAAAAAATTTAGAAATATATAATAAAAATTGAATTTTACGTTTTACTT